ACACATGCGCACACACACAGATACACAAACACACAGACACACACACACACACAGACGCACATGCACAGACACAGACACGTGCGCACACAGACACACACACACACAGAGACACAGACACACACGAGAGGCAAGGGAGGGCTCATGTTACCACGTTACAGGAGCTGTTGTGTATTGTGTTCAGTGAAGCCACATCTGGCACAATTTGCTGGGGACAAAGCCTCACCTCTGTAGCTGTGTCCCTGCAGTGAAATGTGTGAATCTGTAAATTAAAGGTGGGGTTTCATCTCTGTCAGTTTTTATTAACTGGTGGTGTATTCTAAAGGAGAACAATGCTGCCTAAACTGCTGAGCTTTCCCAGTTGTTTCAGACTCGCTGGATCTCCTGCCAATTGGAACTGGAAGGAGAAGCTGCTGCTCGCAGTGTTGTACTCTGCATATTGTTGTCGCTTGGTCATCACCCATAGAACATAGAACATTACAGCGCAGTACAGGCCCTTCGGCCCTCGATGTTGCGCCGACCTGTGAAACCAATCTGAAGCCCATCTAACCTAAACTATTCCATTATCATCCATATGTTTATCAAATGACCATTTAAATGCCCTTAAAGTTGGCGAGTCTACTATTTTTGCAGGCAGGGCATTCCACGCCCTTACTACTCTCTGAGTAAAGAACCTACCTCTGACATCTGTCCTATATCTATCACCCCTCAATTTAAAGCTATGTCCCCTCGTGCTAGCCATCACCATCCGAGGAAAAAGGCTCCCACTGTCCACCCTATCCCAGTTCCCCATTCCTTCCAGCCCTGTCTCTTGGTGACTCAACCCCTCACCACGGGTGGCACGGTGGCTCAGTGGTTAGCACTGCTGCCTCACAGCACCAGAAACCTGGATTCGACTCCACCCTCGGGCAACTGTCTGTCCAGGTTTCCTCCCACAGTCCAAAGATGCGCAGGTTAGATGGATTGGCCGTGGGAAATTGCTCCTAGTTTTCAGGGATGTGTAGATTAGGTGGGTTATAGGGGAATGGGTCTGGGTGGGATGTTCTGAGGGTCGGTGTGGACTTGTTGGGCCGAAGGGCCTGTTTCCACACTGTAGGGATTCTATGATTCTGTGAGTGAGCAACAGAGTGGCTGAGGAAGAGTGAGTTCTTTCTGAGAGCTCCTCCAGTAATATTGTGACAAGCGTACAGGGGCTGTGAGTGTGCACGGGTTGTGTGCGTACTGATACCATGTGCCCAGGAGCTGGGCGTGTATGCATGGATTGGGTATGAATGTGAATCACAGAATCCCTCCAGAGTGGAAGCAGGCCATTTGGCCCATCGAGTCCACACTGACCCTCGGAATTGCATTACACCCATGCTGACCACCCCATCCCTGTAACCCTGCATTGCCCATGGCTAACCCACCTAGCCAGTACATCCCTGGACACAATGGACAGTTTAGCATGGCCAACCTGGGTATGTATGGGGCTGACTGGGTGTCTCGCACACACCCCCCTCCGCTAATGCAGCCTTCACATCCTTAAAGATTGATTTATAAATTGTGTTATTGCTCTCACCGGATGAAAGGAATGACAAATGTTTAACTTGTCACTTGCTGAGTTTAAAGGCACTGGACCCGTGCGGAAAGTGCCAAATATAATATGATGTAAAAAAAAATCATATGACCAGTGTCACATAATGAAACACTGTTAGCTGTGGCTGTTCACAGCCATGTGAATGTTAACCCTCTTGTGCCCAAGTCCCAGTGTGGGCTTTGGTGAACAAAAACAGAAGTTGCTGGAAAAGCTCAGCAGGTCTGGCAGCATCTGTGAAGAAAACAAAAAAATCAGAGTTAAGGTTTCGGGTCCGGGGACCCTTCCTCAGACCTGGCTTTGCTGAAGGCTGACAGTGCTGAGGGGCTGCTGTGTTTGGGAAGGGAGTTACTCTCAGTGCTCATGGGGCAGCACCCCAAAAGCACTCTGATCTGATCTGGTCACGTTTGGTTTGTATTGCTGTTTGTGGGATCTTGCCGTGCACAAAGTAGCTGCTGCGTTTCTTGCACCGCGACACTTCAAAGAGGAGCTTTTACTGGCCGGGAAAGAATAACAAAAAAACTCCTAGAGACGCGCAGCGCTGGGGAAAGGCGCTATAGAAATGAACATCCCTTTGACGTGACAACAGGGATCTCCGCGATCCAATCTGCAGGCGTACGACCAACAGCAGACAGCTGCATTGATTTAGCGCCTCTTAAAGTTGTAAATCGCTTCGATGGAGTGTTATGATAGCTGAAAAGTGACAAAGATTTGTTAAAGAGGTGTCCCCCCAGAAACAAGACAACAAGGTGCAGGGCTGGATGAACACAGCAGGCCAAGCAGCATCATAGGAGCAGAAAGGCTGACGTTTCGGGCCTCGACCCTTCATCAGAAAAGGGGGAGGGGAAGGGGGTTCTGAAATAAATAGGGAGAGAGTGGGAGGCGGATAGATGAGGGATAGAGGAGAGGATAGGTGGAGAGGAAACAAACAGGTCGAAGAGGTGGGGATGGAGCCAGTAAAGGTGCGTGTAGGTGGAGAGTTAGGGAGGGGATAGGTCAGTCCAGGGAGGACGGACAGGTCAAGGGGGCGGGATGAGGTTAGTCGGTAGGAGATGGGGGTGCGGCTTGAGGTGGGAGGAGGGGATAGGTGGGAGGAAGAACAGGTTAGGGAGGCGGGGATGAGCTGGACTGGTTTTGGGATGCGGTAGGGGGAGGGGAGATTTTGAAGCTTGTGAAATCCACATTGATACCATTGGGCTGCAGGGTTCCCAAGCGGAATATGAGTTGCTGTTCCTGCAACCTTCGGGTGGCATCGTTGTGGCACTGCAGGAGGCCCAGGATGGACATGTCGTCTGAGGAATGGGAGGGGGAGTTGAAATGGTTCGCGACTGGGAGGTGCAGTTGTTTATTGCGAACCGAGTATAGGTGTTCTGCAAAGCGGTCCCCGAGCCTCCGCTTGGTTTCCCCGATGTAGAGGAGGCCACAACGGGTACAGCGGATGCAGTATACCACATTAGCAGATGTGCAGGTGAACATCTGCTTGATGTGGAAAGTCTTCTTGGGGCCTGGGATGGGGGTGAGGGAGGAGGTATGGGGGCAGGTGTAGCACTTCCTGTGGTTGCAGGGAAAATTGCTGGGTGTGGTGGGGCTGGAGGGCTGGAGGGGAGTGTGGAGCGGACAAGGGAGTCACGGAGAGAGTGGTCCCTCCGGAAACCAGATAAGGGTGGGGAGGGAAGGATGTCTTTGGTGGTGGGGTTGGATTGCAGATGGCGGAAGTGTTGGAGGATGATGCGTTGGATCCGGAGGTTGGTGGGGTGGTACGTGAGGACGAGGGGGATTCTTTTTTGGTTCTTATTGGTGGATGGGGTGTGAGGGATGAGTTGCGGGAGATGTGGGAAACACGGTTGAGGGTGTTCTCGACCACTGAGGGGGGGAAGTTACGGTCCTTGAAAAACGAGGACAACTGAGATGTACGGGAGTGGAATGCCTCATCCTGGGAGCAGATGCGGTGGAGGCGAAGGAATTGGGAATAGGGGATAGCATTTTTGCAGGAAGGTGGGTGGGAGGAGGAGTATTCTGGGTAGCTGTGGGAGTCGGTGGGCTTGAAATGAATATCGGTTTCTAGGTGGTTGCCCGATATGGAGACAGAGGGGTCCAGGAAGGGGAGAGAGGTATTAGAGATGGTCCAGGTAAACTTAAGGTTGGGGTGGAAGGTGTTGGTGAAGTGGATGAACTGTTCGAGCTCCTCGTGGGAGCACGAGGCGGCGCCGATACAGTCATCAATGTAACGGAGGAAGAGGTGGGTTTTAGGGCCGGTGTAGGTACGGAAGAGGGATTGTTCCACGTAACCTACAAAGAGGCAGGCGTAGCTTGGGCACATGCGGGTACCCATGGCCACCCCCTTTGTCTGTAGGAAGTGGGAGGAATTGAAAGAGAAGTTGTTGAGGGTGAGGACGAGTTCGGCTAATCGGATGAGGGTGTCAGTGGAGGGGGACTGGTTGGGCCTGTGGGACAGGAAGAAGCGGAGGGCCTTTAGGCCATCTGCATGGGGAATGCAGGTGTAGAGGGATTGGACGTCCATGGTAAAGATGAGGTGTTGGGGACCAGGGAATTGGAAGTTCTGGAGGAGGTGGAGGGTGTGGGTGGTGTCACGGACGTAGGTAGGGAGTTCCTGGACCAAGGGGGAGAAAATGGAGTCCAGATAGTTGAAGATAAGTTCGGGAGGGCAGGAGCAGGCGGAGACCATGGGTCGACCAGGGCATTCAGGT